CTCAATACCTGGACTGTTCTGTAATGTTCATCCAGCTAAGTTAATATAATATAATGTTTAGAAGTTTCATTTTACTCACTAATTGACTGCCTGAATATCGTTGACAACTTCGGGGGTTTGATATCCATAAATAGGCAGCTTATAGTTCCTGTTACGTTTTTTTCAACAGCTGCTCATGTGTCGGTTTGGTGCCTGAATTTAATATTTTTGCAGAGCTTTTTTCAGCTTCTAATTTGAAGTTAAGAGTAAGGGAAGTTGTTAGGTTAATGGATGTTTGTTGTGTGAGTGTTATGTTTAATCTTATTTTGTTTATTTTTATTTTTTTCTTTATAACTTCCTTAGAGGGGTCGCGCCTTACTTTGCAGGTTCTTCTTAGTATAGGCAAGACAGTAAGGGTTTTGTTTAAGGGGTTAGGGTGGGACTTATTTACCATGTATAATCATCTCTATCACATTTGCGAGGATTTCTATAATCTTTTTCATTTTAATCTGAGTTATGCAGGCTGATGCAACACAAACAAAGAAGAGGGGACAGGTTACTTTGGTCACATGGAATGTCAAAGGTTTGAATAACCCTGTGAAGAGGGGTAAGATATTAGCACATCTAAAGACATTGTCCAGCGACATAATCTTCCTTCAGGAAACCCACCTTAATAAGAATGAGTATATAAAACTGAGATGCAGGTGGACAGGACAAGCTTATCATTCTACCTGTGCAGTGAGAGCTAGAGGCGTGGCGACATTATTCAAAAAAGGTACACCTTTTACCCATAAGTCAACCATATCTGACAGGGAAGGCAGATATTTAATATTAGTTGGAGAATTGTATTCCGTTCCGATAACTCTGGTTAATATATATGGCCCCAACACAGACTCTCCTCTTTTTTACAAACATGTCTTGTCCCAAATACCTGACATTTCAAAGACTAATCTAATCATTGGTGGGGACCTAAATCTTGTATTAGATCCATACTTGGACCGTTCATCAACACGTAGAATACNATATGTCTCCTCTTGTACTGATTTAATGATGATGGCTGAAGCTTGATTTCTCTCCTCAACACTGACATGTGACTCGCAGTAATGCCAGCCTCTGCAGGAGTTGCTTGGTGCTGCCTTGAGATGAAAAAGATGTGCTATGTGCACAAGGCGGGCCATTGCACAGGTGAGTGACTTCCAGGAAGAAAATCTAGCAAATCGTTGAGAACCTAGATGATCAGGGGATGTTGTTGTGGTCAAAGTCGATGCTAAAGGTCGCACATCAGGATCTGTATCTGGCTCAACCAGATCGTAGCTTCTTTCGGAGACTACAACCTCAGGTGAGTAGAGAAACTTAGGTCCGCCCAACCAGTTGGTATGCATGAGTC